TCTTGTGCTGCCTCACTTTCTTGAAAGATTTCAATTTTTATTCCATCAATTCCTGGTGCCTTGTTCTTTGCCAATTCCTTCAGTGCACTTTGGACTTCATCCCTGAGTATCATTGGCCCTTTTTCATATGGTACTTCTTGAAATGGTTGAACATTAACCATTTCCTTTTGGTACAATCATTCTGTGTATTCCTTCCATCTTTTCTTGATGCTTTCTGCATCATTCAATAATTTGCCCAGAGAACCTTTCAATAACGAAAGTCGAGGCTTGAATTTTTTCTTCAGTTCCCCCAGCTTCAGAAATGCATTTGTTTAATTCTAGAATCCACAGTTTGGGAAAATTACTGAACTGCCAACTGGAGTTCAGAATTTGCTTACAATACTTTTTTTTTTTAATATGTTTTATGAATTATATGATCTTTTACATGGGAGAAATTAGCTTTACATTCGTCCTATCACATATATTGTTACATTGCCATGGTTACAATCCCCTCCATGCATCATCAACCAACCAAAGGGATACCCCGCAAGCCTGCTCCATGGTGGTCAGCACGCAGCCCCTTTACCTCTCTTTGTCTAGAGTTCCCAGCTGCTCCATCTCTCCATGTCATCGTCTCTGCCTCTATCTCTGGCATTACTGTTTCTCTGGGTAGAGTCCCACACTCCACTCTCCTCCCTTGATATGGTCCCAGGGACCTCCACTTCTGGACTGCAAAGTCAACCACTCCCCTCCTTTTGATACAAAACATCTACCTTTACATTTCCAACCCTCACAGTCAATCCTGATAGCAGTTACTCACTATTGTGCTACAAGTGCCCATCTCCTTTCATCAGCCCCACCCAGACAGTTTGGATACCACTCAGTGGAGAGTCTACCTTCCTCCGCACCCTCTGTATCTAGGCTCCCTTTTGAAAGCTTGTTAGCCAGTCACTTCTTGCCTTTGTAGCACCCCCACACACACACTTTTTGGGTAGCCAATGTCCGAGTTGCCCATGCCTATCTACCCTATGTATGAAGGGGGTGAGAATGATTCTCACTGTAAAGATTTGTTGCATTTTTTGAGCTACTGTAGCCATAGGCGTAGGTCAAGTTCATCAGATTGTATTCGTTTTTTTTTTTTTTTTTTTCCTTATCTTTCTTTCTTCTAGTTGAACTCTGATCATCCAGCCATTGAAGCCAGGTCAAGTGGGTATTATCTGCAAGTGTGGGTGTTCTTGTGCATATTCCCTGTCTTCTTAGCAGCTGGACACTTCATTCTCCACTGTAGTCCTCTGTGGCTATGTCACTGACTCTGGGCCTGAGAGTCCCTAGGTCTTGCCAGACTGCTGGCCAACCAGGTCTCCACCCGGGTTCACAGGAGTCTGTTGAGCATGGTTGGACTTAGCTCGCAGCTTCATTGCTGTTTTTCCCTCACTTCCCTTTATTGGTGACGAACGTGGTCACTAATCAGTGCATGTATTCCCATTGAGTCTTAGTCTTGGAAGGGGGTTTGCTTTGAGGGGACCCGAACACTTGCCTTGATGTCTCCTGGGCAAGCGACTTGCTTGTTCTTGAAATAATCAGTCGGTCTGCCTATATTGTTTTGTATTTTTCCTCTCAATCTTTCTTTCAAGAAGTATCTTCTGTTCTGGCCGCTCCAGGCATGTCTGCTTGTCCTTTCAAGTGGAAATTTTCCACCTCAGAAGATTCTGGATGGGGATCAGGATTCTACCTATGGTCTTATGTAATTCAGAGGCTCCACAGGAATCCTCCTTCACTGGGCAAGTTGTAGCCCCATTTTAGGTATTCCAATCAGTTATAGACAGAAGACAGACTTATAAGCATTCTATGGTGATATTTCTGGCTATTCCTTTCTCTCCCCCTCAAGTGTCTATTTTATAATCGTATGCAAGGAAAACCAAGATTCAAAAGACAGCCAAGCATCTTAACATTATTTCCCCTGTTTTGCCTATTCTAACCAGCTTACAATACTTTTTTATTCTTAACCTAAACATATATAGTTCCAAAATTACTTGAGTTGTTTTGAGTTATGGCCTTTGTCTTGTTTGTCTCTCTCTTTTTCCACTTGGATGTGTGTATGTTACTTATTTCAAATAGTTATGTTTATTTTTTTTCTATTTTATTTTGTTGTCCACCCCATCCTTGGAGTCCCAGTGTGGTGCCATAGGATAAGCAGTCAACCTCAAGGTCAGTTTGAATTGCAAGATTAGTGGTTCAAACTCAACAGCCACTCCTCACAAACCCTGGAAAACCTCATATGGGGTCGTTAAGAGTCAGAATTGACTCTACAGCACATAACAACAACCGCATCCTTGTTGGATTTTTTTCCTCCCAGTATGTGAAACATTAAAATAGTTATAATCACAAGATCAGAGGTTCAAACCCATTTGGAAACTATGCAGGGTTGCTGTGAGTAGGAACTAACTTGATAGCAGTTAACAACAAAACTCAATCACAACAAAACTAAAAAAAAAATATTCTCAGAGAAATATTTCTCCCCTGTATCCTTCTACCTCACGCTTTCTTTTTCATCCTTTTTTCTACCATGCTTTGTAACTAGCCAATTTCATTTGTTTTTTGTTCAATCATCCTATATTTTCCTTCTGCAGAAATGAGCAGCTACTTGTATATTTTATTAACATGATATACTGGAACTCACTTCATCTCAGTTTATAGAAGTCCTCATTCTTATTTGCAGAGTTATGAAAAGTTCTATTGTGTGGATGTGTTCTAATTTATTCATCTGTTCTCCTCTGTGTGGCCTTTTAGATTACTTCCTATATTTTGCAATTAGGTGAAAATGCTACAAAGTATATTGTGTACATATACATTTTCTTACCACTTTAGTTGATCTGTAGGGTAATTCTTAGAGTCAGAAATAAATACATAGCTCTCTAATCCCAATCCCTAACCTCTGCTGACCAATGATCAATCTCAGTCGCTCCTGTCTCTCTAGTTTTTGTCATGTCAAGAATGTTATATACATGAGATTCTTTAAGAGAGGACTTCAAAAAGTGTGTGGAAAACGTTATCTTTCGAGTTCATTTTTCCATGAACTTTTTAAAGCCCTCTCGTAGTATCTTGCCTTTTGAAATTGGCATTTTTCTTTACTCGGCATGATTCCCCTGAGATTCATTGACATTATTGTGTTTCTTGTTATTGTTTGAGACTATTCTGTGGTGTGGATATACCATAGTAGACTGTTGAGTCCTTAAAGAAGACTTGGGTTGCTTCCAAATGTTGGCTGTTAACAATAAAGCTACTATGAACATTCATGAAAGAATTTTTTAAAGTAAATGTGTATATAGTTTTGTTAGATAGTTTTAAGCTCTACACAGCTTGTACTAATGTGCATTTCTGCCAGCAATGTATAAAAGTGCTTGTTTCTCATAGTCACTCCAACAGAGTGTTTTATCCTTTTAAACTATTGCCAGTCCAATTTACTGCTAAGAAATGGTATCACAGTGTAGTCCTAGTTTGCATTTCTCTGAGTATGAATGAGGTTAAACATCTTTTCATATTTGTTAAGAATTCATTGGTGTGTATGTATGTCTGAGGTTGTGTGAAAGAGTGAATTGTTCATCTTTTCACTTATTTTTGTTGGGTTCATGTGGGGGTTTCTTCTCGTTTGAGAGTTCTTTATAAAATATTAGAGCTAATATTCTTTTGGAGTCCTGGTGTGGCACTGTGGGTTAATACATTGGACTGCATAGTCGCTTTAAACTGCAAGGTCAGTAGTTCAACCTCACCAGTTGCTCCTCGGAAACCCAATACAGGGTCGCTATGGGTCGGAACCAACTTGACGGCACTTTACAACAACAACAAAAAACATCTTTCTGCTATTCTCTGCTTTCAGTGAAAATCTATCTGATGTTAGCATTTATTTCCCTTATTCCACTTCCTCCTCTGAATCTAGCTTGAACCTCTGGATGTTCACTGTCAATGTATGGTTACAATTGTTTTTGTGTTAACTTTAGCAGAAGTTTTACTTGCATGCATGTTAATGATATTATCTAATGATAATTTCCACATTCCATTGAATCACCTCTCTTTGGAATGTGCACAAATATTGGATCTCTTCCAGTCAATTGGCCAGGTATTGTATCCCAAATTTCTTGGCATAGATGAGTGAGTGTCTCTAGGGTTGCATCAGTTTGTTGAAAGATTTCAATTTGTATTCCATCAATTCCTGGTTCCTTATTCTTTGCCAAAGTCTTCAGTGCACCTTGAACTTCCTCCTTCAGTGTCGTTGACTCTTGATCATATGCTACCTCTTGAAGTGGTTGAACATCGACCATGTCTTTTTGGTACAGTGATTCTGTATTCCTTCCATCTTCTTTTGATGCTTTCTGCTTCATTCAGTATTTTGCTCATAGTGTCCTTCAATACCACAAGTCAAGGTTTGAATTTTTTCCTTCAGTTCCTTCAGCTTGAGAAATGCTGCGCATGTATCTTCCCTTTTGGTTTTTTAATTTAAGGTCTTGGCACATTTTGCTATAATATTTGACCTTGTCTTCCCAAGCTGCTCAAAGAAAATTTTCATTTCAGCTCTTTTATCTCATTTATTTCATTGGCTTTAGCATCTCTACACTGGAGAGCAAGTTTCAGAGACTGTTATGATATCCATTTTGCTCTTTTACTTCTTTCCTGTCTTCCTAATGACCTTTTGCCTTCTCCCTGGATCTTTATGTCATCCCACAACTCTCTGGTCTTCAGTCTTTAGTGTCTAAAGCTTCAAATCTGTTCTTGAGATGATCCTGACTTCAGGTAGGGGATGTATTTAGGGTCATATTGTCATAGTTTGGATTTCTTAGACTTGTTTTATTTTCTTCAGCTTCAGCCTGAATTTGCACATGAGCAATTGATGGTTTATTCCAGTCTGCCCATGGCCGTGTTTTGACGGATGATAGTGGAGCTTCTCCACCATCTCTTTCCACAGATGTAGTCAATTTGATTTCTGTGTATTTCAGGTGATGACATCCATGTGTATAATTGTCTTTTATATTGTTTTTTAAAAAGTGTATTTGTAATGCACAAGTGATTGGTCTTGCAGAATTCTGTCATGTGTTCTTCAGCATCATTGCTATCACCAAGGCCGTATTTTCCAACCACTGATCCTCCTTGTTTCCAACCTTTGCATTCCAGTCACATTATCAGTACATCTTGATTGCATGTTTGATCAATTTGAGACTTTAGAAATTGGTAGAATTCTTCAATTTTATCATCATTGCCTCCAGTGGTGGTTGCATAAATTTGAATAGTAGTGGTATCAACTGATCTTCCTTGTAGGCATATGGTTATTATCCTATCACAGACGTCATTGTACTTGAAGACAGATCTTAATATCTTCTTTTTGATGATAAATGGATGCCATTCCTCCTCAATTTGTCATTCCCGGCATAGTAAACCATGTGATTGTCAGATTCAGAATAGCCAGTACCAGTCCATTTCAGCTCACTAATGCCTAGCATATCAATGTTTATGTATTCCATTTCATTTTTGACAATTTACAATTTTCCTAGTTTCATACTTCATACATTCCATGTTCCAGTTATTAATGGATGGGTACAGTGTTTTTCTTCATTTTGAATTGTGCCCCAACAACAAATGAAGTTCCCAGTGGCTTTACTCTCAAGGGCATTACTCCATTCGTGTCATCGTGGTCAGCTGGTCAGCTCTACTTTGAGGAGGCAGCCCTTCCCCAGTAGTATTTTGAGTGCCTTCCAACCTAATTGAGGGGCTAATTGTCTGACACTATATCTGACAATATCCTGGTGTTCTTCATCATGTTTCAGTATTCTGGTGTTGACAGAGTTCCACTGTTATTTATAAGATTTTCAGTGACTTAATACTTAAAAGTTGTCCACTTCTTCCTCCTAGTCAGTTTTCTATAAGCTCAGCTGAAACCTGTGGGTGACCCTTTTGGTATTTAAAATACAGGTGTCTTAGCTTCCAGAATCACAGCAACACACAAGCCACCACAGTACAACAAACTGACAGAGTGGTGGAAAGATTATGGCTAGGCGAGACTAATGAAAGGGTTTACTGTCCTCTCAAGGCTGCTTTCCACCATAGCTTTCCTTTTATCATCTGTCAGAACTAGTAAAAGGTCTGCTAGTTTGTTTTCAGCATATCACCAGAGCTGTGTGGCCCAGCACAGTACTTTGAACATTATGGCTTTAAGCCAGATTATTTTTAACCTGCAATATCTGAGGTTGTTTACAAGTTTATAAGTAAATTTACTGTTTTTTCTCCTTAGAGAAGTTGTATAGTTTCAATAAGAAGCTATGAACAGTGAACAATAAGATAATCTTCGCTCTGCTTATTTTCTTTTTTTACTAGTTTTTGGCTTTGTCATAAAGGACAAAATTGAAACTAGTAAGCATGTGCTTCTTCCATTTAAGAGGTCAAGAGAGCCACATTATAGGGTGTAGGAGTGTTTAGAAACCTAAGTTTTGGACGCAGATCTGGCTTTGTCTCTCTTCTCTGTTTACTAACGTGTGGCTTTTTGAGGCACTTTTCTTATTTGTAAGGAGATGATTTGTATCTTCAGAGTTAGTTCAGACTTTAGCACAGTGACTGCCATAGATAAGCATTCAGTTAATGGTAATTGCTCTTATTGTTGGTACATATGCACCAACCCAATCTGTAGTCTTAATGTGACGGCTGTGGGATAGCACTAGACTGCGAACTGTATGGTCGGAACCGACTCAATAGCATTTAACCACAATATCCTAATTGACTCTGCACTGTAGGATAGGCACTGGACTGCTAAACACAAGACCAGCAGTTCAAACCCACCAGCTGCTTTGCAGGAGAAAGATAAGGCTTTAAACCTCCCTAAAGATTTACAGCCGTGGAAACCCTATAATTTGAACTGACTCAACATCCTAATTTATTACTTTTTTTTAACTAACAAGAGTTGTTTCTTTAGAGTTTGTATGAAAATGTGGAGTCTAAGCCTTCAGCCAACTCTGGCGTTTTGGAAGATAATACCTACTATACAGATCTACTTCAGATGAAGCTTGATAACTTAAAGTAAGTTATTGGGTCAGGTGGATGGAAAAATGAAGACTCTCTTCAATTGCTTGTAATAAGTATTATTAGTAATTGTGAATTTTTGTTTTGGAACTTCCAAAAGAAAATTTCAGTGAAGAAGGATAATAGAAATGTCTTTGTACAGTACATCAGATTAGTATATGTACACATACATATGGGAAAGGATATTTTCCCTTTTTGTTCATTGCCTTTAAAGAATGCATGAGAGAGTTTTATGTGGCCGTAATACTGTTTTAACTTATTTTAATTCATTATTTTTTTGGTCCCAAAAACCTCTGAGAAAGTTATTTTTAACTCAGAGTTCAAATATGTTATCAAAGATTTGGGTTAACTGATCTATACAGTTATATGATACTTTGATAATACTTTGGTTTTCTTTTTATTATTACAGCAAGGAAAATGAAAGCAGTAAAGGAGAACTATCCTTACAACGTATGAAAGCATTATTTGAGAGCCAGCGAACTCTGGATGTTGAGCGAAAACTTTTTACAAATGAAAGGTTCTTACAGCTTTCCCAAAGTGAAAATATGAAACTTAGAGCTAAAGTAGATGAATTAAGACTAAAGTATGAACCTGAAGGTAGGTCGACTTTTGTCTTTTAAATCTTGAGTGCCTCTGAGAAATTTGCTTTATGCAAATTTCATTACAAACCAATTTGCGATTATATATTTATAATTTGTACATATACTGCTGCAAAATGTTGAGGAAAAATCAAAGAGAATTGGGTATGCAAGGGAGCTTTAGAAAGTTCATGGGGAAATTACATGAATTTAGTTTTGAATTTAACTTTTTCCATGAAAATATTTCTTTTTCTATCTGAATTCTTCTTTCTGTATAGTAGAACCTTGACATTTGGACTTTTCCGATAGGATCCCAGCATCTTATGTAACAGCAAAGAATTTAATTTTGTTAAGGCAGCTGATGAAAGCTATAGTAGGTAAGACAGCTTGCTTTAGGGTAATAGAAGATCTAAAATAATGGGCCCTTAGACAAGACAGAGATTTATTCATCCTCCTGATACACGGGGAGGAAGAATTCCAGGACTACTGTAGCACTCCACAATATCAGGATCTAGGTTCCTTCTGTGTTGTGGAGCAGAATTTAGTCATGTGGTCTCTCTCCCCTGTTTATGAGGAAAACTGAGAAGTTCATTGTTGATTCTCGGGTCACATTGCCAACTCAATATGGCCCTGTGAGTTAATGCGCTGGAATACAAGATTGGTTTGAATCACAAGATTTGCAGTTCAGGCTCACCAGCTGCTCTTCAGAAACCCTATATAGGTTTGCTATGGGTCAAAACAAATTCGGTGGCACTTAACAACAATTATTGAGGAAGAACAGTATGGCAGATACTAGAGGACAATTAGTCTCTAGAAAATAGATTAACCAGATAACCTCTGCATTTTAAACATAGTAAATTTTGCTGAATGTAAGTTAAAAGTTGAAAATAAAATGGATGACCAAAGTACAGAAGTCTAAGAACGTGATGTTCTTCGACTAGAAAAAAAAATATTGTTACATGCTTTAGAATCCGGATTCTCTGTCACTTTTTGCCCCTCTACTGTTTGTGGTGGAGTCCTGGTGTGGCGCTGTGGGTTAATGCGCTGGACTACAAGGTCAGTTTGAACCACAAGGCCGGCAGTTCAAACTCACCAGCTGTTCCTGAGAAACTCTATACAGGGTCACTATGAGTTGAAACTGATTCAACAGCGCTAAACAACAATGTATGTGGCCCTGTGGGTTAATGCGCTGGACTTTAAAGTCGTTTGAACCACAAGGTCTGTGGTTCTGGCTCACTAGCTGCTCCTCGGAAACCCTATACTGTGTCTCTTTGGTTTGGAACGGACTCAGTGGCACTTAACAACAACAACAACAACTGGTCACATGCATAACACCCTTATCCTTTCTTTTTATTGTTTCAGTGACCCTGCAGTAGAGGCAAGCTGTAGGAAATAGTAGGCCTTAGAAAGAAAGCCTTCTCTCTCTCTCATTTATTTTCTCCCCAATTCTGATAGGTTCCTCTGTTTAGGGATTATCCATTACGAATTTTTGAGGTTGTAGGTTAAGCACTGGACTGCTAGCCACAAGGTAGGCAGTTCAAACCCACCAGCCCCTCTTTGGGAACCCTATATAGGGTTGTTGTGAGTTGGAGTCAGCTTGACGGCACTTAACAACTGAACTGAGCACAACAAACAAATGAGAGAACGGGTAATATGTCCAGATGATGTGGGCTCTAAATGAGTTGCTCTTATTAAGTACCATTGAGTCAGTTCCGACACATAGCAGCTGTATAGGAGCGGCTGGTGAGCTTGAACCACCGACCTTGCGGTTCAAACTGACTTTGTAGTCCAGTGCATTAACCCACATCACCACATCAGACTCCATTAAAGGAGTTGTTATTGTTGTGAAGTGCTATCGAGTAGTACAAGAAAAAAGGGAAGTGCTGATCTAAAAATGAGTACAGAGCAAGAGCACCAACTCTACCTTTGACCATGGATTCCTAGGACCATTTTGAATTTGAAGGCCGAGAGGCTAGGGAGAAGGTATTAGAATAATCCAATGTTTATGGTTCTACAGAAAGAGAATGGTGTTGGCCGTGAAGATAAAAGACTTGCATAGTATATGATGAGATGTGATGTGATTTAAACTGAGAAGTAAGTATACAAGATCAGAAGTGGTCACATTCCAAAGTCTGTTTCATAGGTGTGGCCAGTAGGGTTTGTTCTTTCATTTACTCTTTATAACATGCACTACTGAGAGATGTGGCTGCATGCACTTTCCATTTTGCAGATAAAGAAAGTAGAACTGAGAGTGCTTGCTCACGTGCACTCACTTGGATTTCAAACCTGGATTCCTTGACTGTTAGCCCCCCTAAATTTCCTTGCCATGCTGAGGTCTTAGGAACTCCTGCTATGACTTGTAAAACCACCAGGATTTTCACCAGCAGACAACCCCTGAGTGTTTATCCCAATAGCCAAATATATTACATTCCCAAGAAAAAGCATATTTCCACAGAACCTTTAAAAAGGTAAAGTTAACAGAGCTCATGAAAAAGAAAGAATAAAAAGTAGAAATGGCCTATTTCAGTAAGGAGACACTTAAGTTTTAGAAGACTAGAGAAACAGAAAAAGGAAACAAAAACGTGTCTATGTATATAACAAGTTCCATCTTTTTATAGTGATATGTCTTTGCTTTGAGTCATTGCTAGATTTTTATAATGATTTTTATCCTCAGAGATCATTGAAGTACCTGTACTCAAAAAGAGACGTGAAGTACTGCCTGTGGACATAACTGTCCCAGAAGATGTATGTGCTAACAGTGCTGTCCAGGGAGAAGTTAATAGATTACCAGCTCCGAAAGAGGAGGCACAGTCTTGTCCTATCAGTTTAGAAGATAACTTGCACTTAGAAAAGACAGTTTCTGTAAACACACCAGTAGTCAGTCTCTCTCCCTACAAAAATGTGTCAATGGAAGTGCCGCCAATGAAGGAAAAGAAACGTGTGAAACTCATAGAGGTTACCGTTGACTCTGAAGCTTTAAGTGAAAGAAGTGGAAACAGCCTGAACTCACCCAGGTCAGTGTCCTCTTTTCCTCAAGGCAACCAGCAGACCTCGCCATCTCTTCTCTGTCGCTGCATGAACTGTGCTTTCTCTTTCCTCATCTACTTTCTTAGCATTGCATGCAGTATAATACCCCAGTTTCACCTGCCAACCTTCAACTTTTCCAAAACTTTAAGAAAGACCAAAATAACTGCAAGAGGAAAAGACTCCTGAATAAGGGAATCACACTTTAGAAAATTAGATATTTCTGTTTCATGAAATACAGATAGCAAAGAGTACATCTTTGAAGGTTTTGTTGATTTAAATAAATGTACTGTAACATTTTTTCCTGGTTCAAGAGTGACCATGAATGATAAATTAACATGCCTTCTAAAAGCTTTCCAGTAGTCTAAGAAATTTCAGCCTTCTAAAATGCTGAATTTTTTTTTTTTTTGGCTTTTGAAATTGTTTAATCTTAAGCTTTCAGGAATAGCCTTTGATATCTATTTTGGTATTTAAAAATATCAAAGTTAATTTATTTTCATTTTATATCAAAACTTCAAAGCCTCTAGTTTCTGTATAATTTTCTGCCTAAATAAGGAAGTGTCAGGCATATATGTCTGAAAGAACTATACATTAAAGGCCTTGTCCTTTAAAACAAAATAATAGATGATAAAAGAAAGTGAATGAAAGGGAAGAGGAGTAGGAAACAGTGGTTGGGGCTAGAGTGAAATAGGAAATAGCTCTGCAGGTGGCAAAAAAATAAGTGAGTGAGGAAAATGGAGATTGTTTTTAAAAAAAAGGTACAAATTGAAGGATGCTGCTTGTAAAGGAATGATGGATACAATTTTAATAACCTTTACACATTAAAAAAAGAATGCTATTAATGTGAAAATAGCTAACTTTGATTATCCATCTCCTATTAAATGAGATCCTTAAGGTACTGTTAAGGCTATATCAGTCTTAAGCAGAGGGATACTGACTAAGACATTTTATTAATGTTCGTTTGAATTTTTTTTAAAAGTCCGACATATTCCAACTTATGTAAAAGGGCTTCCTTGTTTTATCTGAATTCCCTTGAGTCTTCAGTGCCTACTAAGTGTTGTATTCGAGAGTGGAAGCACTTCAACAATGTTAGCTGCTATTGTGATTATACAGAATAATTATTTATTGCTTTCTTCCCTGAATTTTTACATGTTAGTGTTAAACTTATTTTAAGCAAACAAACAAAAAACCAAAACCGTTGTCATGCAGTCATTTTTGACTCTTGTCGACATCATGTGTGTCAGAGTAGAGCTGGACCCTGTAGGGTTTTCAATAGTTGTAATCTTATGGTAGTAAATGTCCAGGCCCTTCTTCAGGGCTGCTGGGTGGATTTCCAGCCCTGTGGTTGGAAATTGAGTGCAAACTTTGCAGCAAAAGTCACAAAATATAGAAGTTTAATTTTCTCAAGGAAAAAGTAACATTAAATGAATGACACATGACTCCGTCCTGAGTCATCCTAGAGTTTATATTTGTTTATCTGTTATTCGTTGTGTAAATGTGCTTGACCATTGTGTATTTATAGAGGCGGGTTCCAAAATTACCAGTGTGAATCTTGCTGTCTCTGTTGTCTTCATTTCTTTCTGCCTTTTTTTTGCTTGATTAAAAATTACTAAGCAAATATATGTAGCTACTTGATTGACGTAAGTAGCACATTGGGATTTTTTTTGTCTTGCTATTAAACAAAAACAAATAAAATACCACAGAACATTTGTTTTTGTGTGTGTGTGAGTCCATCTGCTAACTTAAGACGTTTCCAACTTTTTGTTCTCTGCATGCTTAACTTAGATACACGATTCTAATTTTATAAACAATAAATAGGGATTTGTTGGGAATTCCACTATTGCATGCTTTATAGTTTAATTGATGTTCTTAGTTATAGGCTTTTTTACTATCTTACCTTTGTTTATTTTCCTGTTTATTTATTCTCGAAATTCAATTTGATTTTTTGTTTTTGTTTTGTTTTAATGAGACAAGTTGTTAGAGTCCTGCAGCCAGCAAAGATTCGGTGTGGTTTTTTTTTTTTTTAATCTTATTTAGCCTTTTTTTATCTTATTTAGCCTTTTGTATGTTATGTTAACTTTTAAAATACTATCTAGCATTTTAATTTTTGTGTTAGATGTGCTTAGCATAGTAGGCACCCGATGATATTTTAATTAGTTTAGGCCTTGCCATGGGAGTGTATCAAGATTTCTCAAGGCATTTTAAAAATAAAGCCTATTTATGTGAAAAGGCTCTTTAAGAGAGACAGTGACTTCATTTAGTAGAGGAATCAACTATGATTATTTTTTATTGTATACCTAAAAAAAATCACTAGGAGACCCTTTATTCTTGGGGGTTTGTTTCTTCTTTACTTAATCACATTTGAATTCAGAGTGGATGCTTTAATGCCTGTAGGTTAACTGCTGAATCAAAGCTTCAAACAGAAGTTAAAGAAGGGAAAGAAACTGCAAGCAAAATGGAAAATGAAACTTGTAAGAAATCACACCCTATTCTATACGTATCATCCAAATCAACTCCAGAGACCCAGTGCCCTCAGCAGTAAAGACTTTTCTTTAATTGAGAGTAAGGTACCATTTGCCTAAAAGGTTGTGGTGGAGTTAGTTGAACTTGTCATTATCTGAAATATACCAGCTTGTGGGTTATTTCTATCTACACATTGGCCAGGACCGGGCATCTTCATGTGTCTTCGAACAAGTGCTCAAAATTTCAAATGATTCTAACATTGAGTTCCTTAAGTGATGATATTTCATGAAACTTCTGTGAATCACAGTATATAAATTACTCACTTATGAACAGCCGGTAAATTAATTAAGTTACCTTCTAATTAAAAAAAACACACAAAAATACTGAAATTAATTAAATAACATATTTTCCTATGTATTTTTAATGAACTTTAGTTTTCAGTGTGCTGTAAAAATAGGGAATTTAATTTTAAAATATTGTTACAGGATTTCATTGGTGTTTAAAGAAACTATGTTAATCTTTATATTCATGTACACAAATTTAAATTTTAAATGTCAAGCATATGAAACAAGCAGTTTTAACTAAAGTAAAACTGCAATTTCTTCCCTTGACTTTTTCTTACTCTGTATAAAAAGCAACATGTTTTAAAAAGGGAATAAACTAGGAAAAAAAGAAACTTCAGATTCTTAATTCCCTGGGACATACAAGTACACCTTTATCTAAGTCTAAAGTTTTCAAATAAAGACCATTTTTCTTCAGACATTTATAGTTTATAATGTAATTTCATATCTATCTATATGTATGTGTGTATATATGCATATGTATTATACAGGAGGGATCTGTTCTAACTAGATAAATCTATTGAAATATATGAGGTTAAAGGAAATTGCCTTAACTTATAAATCAAATTTTAAACTTTTTATTTTGTTTTAATCTGCTACAAAAAGCATTCTGTAAGAAAACTAGATTTTTTTTCATATTGCATAAAATCTTTTGCAAAAGATAAATGGGAACAAATAATAAACATAACCTATAAATATATTAATTGAGTAGTCCTATTCATACTGCAAATTCTGCTTGTTAGTGCCGTTATTAGTTCTAACTCATAGCAACCCTGTGTAGGGGTTCTGAGGAGAGAATGGTGAGTTTGAACCGCTGACTGTGATTCAAAATTGACCTTGAAGTCTAGTGCTTATCCTACAGAGTCATATGTAGATCAGTTCCTTCTGACATTGAGTTCATACAGTTAGCTGGGTTGTTGTTGTTGTTAAGTGCTGTTGAGTCTGTTCTGACTCATAAAGACCCTGTACAGGCTTTTCAGCAGCTGATGGTTTTGAACCGCCAACCTTGTGGTTAATTGTTCAATGCTTTTACTACAGCAGCACATGTTGTTGTTGTTTGGTGCTGTTGAATCAGTTCCCACTCTTTAGAGACCCTGTATAGAGTTTTCAAGGAGCAACTGGTGGGTTTGAACCACCACCTGGTGGTTCAAATTAACCTTGTGGTCTAGTGCTTATCCTACAGCACCACACCAGGACTCCTACAGCACCACACTAGGACTTGTGTAATTGTTAAGTGCCTTCAAATTGGTCCCGACCCATGGCAACTAGGATTTCCGAGAAGCAGCTGGTGAGTTTGAACCGCTGACCTTGCAGTTCAAACAAACTTTGCAGTCCAGCGCATTAACCCACAACACCACACCAGGACTCCAGGACATGTGTTTGCTGTTCTTAAGTGCCGTGGAGTTGGTGCCAATCCATAGTGACCCTGTATAGGGTTTCCGAGGATCAGCTGGTGAGCTTGAACTGCCAACTTTACAGTTCAAATGGCTTTTGTAGTCTGGCACATTAACTCACAGTGCCACACTAGGACTCCAGGACGTGTATTAGAGGTGTAAAAAAAAGACTTCAGAATTAACAGTTTAATAGATTTAAGTGTACGAATAATTAGTAGTGTTGGTATTAACTGTAAAAGTAGTTATATCTGATATTTGAATAAATCAAATGTACCAGGCACTCTTTGAAGCCGTTTCGCATCCTGCAACATTAAACTCTGCCAACATCTGTGTGATCTACATATACGAACGGACTTCAAAAAGTTTGTGGAAAAATTATATTGTCTTCATTTCAATTTTCCATGAACTTTTTAAAGCCCCATTTGTCTCAGATTAGAAAACCAAGACCTCAGAGTTGCTTGTTCAAGATCACAGGTATTAATAAATGGAGAACATTAAGGAATAGTGGAGGATAACTGCTGGCACTATACGATAAGCACTGGACTGCTAATCAAAAGGTTGCAGTTCAAACCTACCTATGCTTTATGGGAGAAATGAGACTCTGTTCCTGTAAAAATGTACAAGCTCAAAATCCCTATACTAGGTTGCTATGAGGTAGAATCAGTGACAGTGATTTTGGGTGTATTGTTTTGTTATGTTTGGTCAGCAGAAATGAGGAAGACCCTCAATGAGATGGATTGACACAGTGGTCAAAGCAGTGAGCTCAGGTGTAACAATTGTGAGGATGGTGCAGGACCAGGCAGTGTTTCATTCTTTTGTGCGTAGAACACTATGAGTTAGAATGACTTGGCACCTAACAAGATGAGAGAAAATCATTGCAGGTAGAAGAAGTAACTGTTTAACGGATAAAAGCGTGAGAGAACATCTAAACTGAAGGCTTAGAATTGGGTAGATGTGTCAAGCCAAACCAAATCTAATGCTATCAAATATTATGTTGTTGCTTTTAAGTGCTGTGGAGTTGGTTCTGACTCATAGCAACCTAGTTTAGTGTTTCCAATGAGTAGCTGGTGAATTTTAACCACCGACCTAGCTGTTCAAACCAATATTGAGGTCGAACGCATATAAGCTTTATGAAAAGCAGTAGCCCTAGATTGCAGCGGAATGGATAACTATAGGGACTTGTTTGGGAAGTTCAGTTTTACAAACAAAACTTACAGAGACCTCTTAACAAATTTAGCTACTGTGGTTGAAAGTTGAATAGGGATGAAAGTCAACTTTTTCCATTGAGCCTTATCACCCATAAAGACCCCCATGGCAATTCTATTACATCTAGAATCTTCTGGGAATATATATTGAAAAAACACTACTATAGATAATGGGAAGCCACTAAATAATTGATAATCTTCTAAGTTGTGCTCAGTGAATTTTTAGTCAAACCACTGGAAGCCTAATGGGTGGACTCAGTGTTGGGTTGCTAACAAAAAGGTTGGCAGTTCAAAATCACCAGTCACTCCACAGGAAACAGATGAGATGGCTTGCTCCCATAAGGATTTACAACCTTGAACACTTTGAGGAGCACTTCTACTGTATCCTCTAGGGTCAGCGTAAGTCAGAATAAACTTGAGGGCAGTGTGGGTATGGGTGTAAATATTAAAATGCATTTATAAATAACAAATTAATAAACATTAGGTCTTCCACGACTAATGTATCCTACTTTGGGGAACATATTACCTTATAAGATTTTTTTGTTCTAAGTTCATACAATGGGCTATGTCTACATGAAAACTGAATAAATCAATCCATTAATGTATTTCACCAAGGCTACCTTGGAAGTACAATCAGAATGCCTCTTAGAAGCCAGGATGGTGAGATTTCGTCTCTTAAACTTTGGACATATCAGGAAGCACCAGATCCTGGAAAAGCCTAATGGAAAATGAGTTTGGAAAAAGATAAGAATAGGGGTAGAAAAATACTAGTTTGACTATTAGGTAATCTAAGTAGTAAATACAGACCGAGTCGATAGCAGTCTAAGTGTAGAGTGGTAGCTGCTTTAAGAGAATATTTAGAGAACAAAGTGGTCAGGAAAAATAGGATGTAGGACTCTGACAGAAAATGGTCCATCTCATGTGAGTGGGGATAAGTAGTGAAGATAACAGTAAATAGAGTAGGTACTGTTTCAGTTTTCATAGTCACTCAGGTGACGAGGTTGCCACTGTGGAGGGTAAAAAATATACTTGTGTTTCTTTTGTTAGTTGCTGTTGAGTTAACTTTGACTCACGGCAAGCCTACTATATATAACAACCAAATATTGCCCAGTGCTATACTGTCTTCATAATCAGTGGCATGTTTGAGTCCAGTTAGACAGTATTTGTTTTGTATTGATCTATAGGATTTTCATTGACTAGCGTAGTGGTTACGAATCGGGCTGCAAACCTTAAGGTCAGCGGTTCGAAACTACCAGCTGCTCCGCGGGAGAAAGATGAGGCTTTCTA